GGATCGCCTCCAAAGGCCCGGATATTCCGCTGCACCCAGTCTAAGCTAGGCGCTGGTCCATAAAGCCGACATTGTATCCCCAACATCAATCTCGGTGAGTTTGAGAAGCCAAAAGCTGTAATCATCAGCTATGAGGCAGGGACAGGAGAAACACCCACGAACCATTGGTTCTGTAGTTTGCAGCTACCACAATGACATCCTCATAGGCTGCGAAGAAGGAGCCGTCGTAGGCAGGCTGGCCCGCATTGCCGAATTTGAGACTGCCTCCGTAGATCCAAAACAGCACAGCCTTGTCTTTGGTTGGCGTATCTGGAACATAAACGTTGAGATAAAGACAGTCTTCGCTCTCTTCCGCATCATCAACGAGTATACTAGGGTCTGGCAACATCGAGGTCAGTAATTATGACATGGAGCTCTGGCGAAGAGACGTACCCGCATGCTCGATACACTTTGCGCTCCACTGGGTCGTGCTCAACGTCTTCGAAGACGACGGCACAGGCTCAGGCGGTTCGAATCTCCTCGGGGGCGAGATGGCAAAGGGTACTCCAAGAAACTTGTTGACCTTGACATCGGCGTATGCGATCTGAGTCGTGATACCGACGAGGGTGCCCTGGCCCAATGTTACGCTTGGACCGTATTGTGCGCTGCGTGATGCGAGGCCAGCGAATGCGAACCCGGGCAAGGCGCAACTCCAAAATCCGGAGAGCTTCATGATGAACCCGGGTGAAATTGAAGGCTGTAAGATGCTTTGAGGGCAGATCTGACCTCATGGAGACTATTTCTTTTTATCATCTCGCTGAACTCATGACGTCTTATAGCAATGGGAGCACGAACGCCATGGCATTGTAATGACAGTCAGACATTGTTTGATTTCCCCCTATCCTTCCTCAGTGGCCTGGGAAAAGAAACGAGCTGGGCGTTGTGCCACCAACCTGTGCGTCTTGCCCAGTCAGAGACAGTTCCATGCGGGTGGTTTCCGAGGCCCAAGAAAGGCAGCAAGGGGGCCCCGCACTTGCCAAGCCCCTAGCCCCCGCGTTGCTCAAGATCGACATCCGATGCTCCAGTCTGCGGCTCGCACCCTGTCGTAGAAACCGAGGCCGTTGAGTGCATGGCCAGTTGGCTAATCGTGTGAGGTCTAGCGTCGTGTACGGCTGGAGCGACCATGGCCTGTTGGGTTTAGCCATGATGGTTTATCGACAGACCTGACAGACCTGAGGACAAAGTGGTGCCGAGCCTCCGCACCTTCGGCTGTGGGCTGGCTGCAGCTTCCTGCTGATGACGGCACATCTCCCATCCCGGGTGGAGCAGGAACGCTCAGATATTCTCGGAAGGTACGGGATTGGCAGGTGCGACACCGACGACCAGTTGCCAGACCTCAACTTTGAACGCAGCTGCAACTGCCAACTGCTTCTCATCCCCCTGCCAGCAATCCCAAACAGAACAAAGATATGTCGGATCCTGAGAGAATCCATCAGCAGTCGGCAATCTGCTCTGGCCATCCAACCCGCACAGAGGGTCCGCCGCCGAACGACGTGCGATCCGTATTTCGTGCTCGGAAGGAAAAGAGGTGAGAGACCATACCGGGGCAGCCAGTCATCGGCAGGCCGGCACATCTTTCTCACACAAGTCCCCACGCAGCTGGCGAGCGTCTCGTGCATGTCAGGTATGTCCAACTTGAGGGTACCGCGCTGCTCTCAGCTACTTTCTCCTTCGCGTGCCACTCGTTCATGAAATCCATCAGAAGCTGACAGTCTGACAATCAGACTTGTCGATATAGGAAGGTAAAGCTCCCCACACAACACAACTGAAGACCCCTTTTCGCACCCCTCTTACTTACTGCTTCACACTGCATGTCCTCTATGTACCTACCATGGATGTCCGGCGTGGCAACAGTGTGGTTCTGGACTGACTTCTCAGGTTCGATGCGATGCTGTCAGTCGAGGTGTGCCCTGCACCAACTGTGTGGCTTTCAAAATAGATTGCCAAATGCAGGGCTCACAACAACCTGCACAACAATGTAACACTCAACGAGCCCTTCAGAGACAGGTCTCGACACCGCCTTCTCGTGACTCCCACGCTCCTGGATTGGGCCTCGGTGACGCAACCTCACAGAAACATGGGGATTTTGTCACCATGGCGGTAGATGGTTACGTCAATCTCATTTTGCGGCCGAAATCAGATTGTGCGGCCATCACCAACGCCGGACGAGTGGCCTTCCTCGGGGAGTCCTCCGGCGTATCTCTGCTAACCCGTCAGAGCTTGCAGGGTGCAGTGCATTACCCGATACCTTGGCCTGCAGCAGGTCCAAGCAAAGATCCTCACGACATTGAGAATCGTGTCTTGCAGCAGAGGGGTGCCTTCCTTTTACCACCGCGGCAGATCTGCGATGAACTCATCGACTCTTATTTTACGTGGATACACCCTGTCGTGCCCATCATCAACCAGACACACTTCAGGCGACAGTATCGAGACCCACTGAGCCCCCCATCCATGCTCTTGCTCCAGTCCATATTCCTTGCGAGCACGCACGTCTGTGACAACATGACGCTGCGGGATGCCGACGGTTCGACAAAGACCATGGCCTTGACCTTGTACAAGCGAGCCAAGGCGTTGTACGACGCAAATCACGAGACCGACCGCGTCGCCATCATCCAGTCCATGATCTTGATAGGGTGGTACTGGGGCGGCCGGGAGGACGTCCTCGAGGAGGCATTTGACTGGACGCGTGCCGCCATTATTGTAGCCCAGGGGACGGGGATGCACCGTTCCGTCGCGCGGTCTCTCCTCAGTACCACCGACAAGAGGCTCTGGAAGCGGATTTGGTGGGCCCTCTTCACGCGTGACCGGCTCCTGGCCCTTACGTTAGGCCGGCCGATGCTCATCAACCTCGCCGACTCAGACGTTGAGATGATTCGCGACGAGGACTTTAACGAGGATGAGCCGGGTCGTGCCAGCAAAGTGCCGCCGAATCCAGCGCACGTGCAGTTCTTCCTTCGATACGTAGCACTCTGCGAAATTCTGGGCGAGATCCTTTCGCGGCAGTGCTCCATGTGGGCGCAGACTCGCTTTAAGGAACTGGACATTGACGACGTCCTGCTCCACGAGTCAGCTCTAGCGCGCTGGCACCGAGAATGCCCGGCCATCGTCAGCCTTGACAGCCCAGAGCGGGATCACTTTTGGGCAGCTGTCCTGCATTCAAAGTATTACACGACGCTGTGCCTGCTGCACAGGAGTCGGCTAACGGCCGTGCGCGAGCCGTTCCCAGCGGCGCTTGTGCCGTCGCGCAGGGCGGCTGTCGAGGCGGCAGCCATGATCACGGGCATCATTCAGGGGTTTTCAGCACACGGCCAGCTCCGACGATGCCCGTCGTTCATCATCTATAGCTTGCTCACAGCATTTGTCATCCACCGGTACCAAAAGTTGTTCATCTCGTCGACCTCACCGCAGGTTGTGCCAAGCAAGACCCGAGACTACTGGTCTGCGCTGCTTGAGATATCGAGGACATGGCCGATGGGTGGGTTGGTAAACTCCATGTTGAGAAGTGTCGCTGAGAGTTGGGAGTCTGGCAAGCGCGTGCCGCATTCCAACACGCCCTCGCTCTCGTTCGTGGGGGACATGATGGGCGTGGAGCTATCCGATGAAAGGCATGTTAAGGATGACCCGGCGGCGGCGGCGGCGGCGGCGGCCATTGATACAGTGGAGGCGAATAGGCAGTATCCTGACCTGCCCCCATTGCTCCTTGGCCGAGAAGTAAACGATTGGTGCGTTCTCAACTGGATTGCATTGTTGCGAAGGACTGGTGTGCTGACAGATGGCAGGTTCCAATTTTTTGGCGTCGACCACTACGACATGAGATGATGGCGGCACGGTAAATCTGAATGGGAACTTGGGATAAAGGCATCGATATCGACATGTAATAGATTGGAGGCTGAACAGAAGGAAGAAAAATGTCTTGGTCGACTCGGACACAAGATTGTCAACACATCTGGCAGCACATCTGCGTGCCTGGAGGCGAAACAAAAGGACAAGTAGCTCTCATTACTGCCTCGTTCCCTGATTTGAATATGGGAAGGTATTCCACCGTGATGAGGATGAGAGAGGACATGTCCTCGTGGATCCAGGTTGAAATTGAAATATAGAAAAGGGCAGGAAGGCCATCTTAGTTCACGTGATGCAGACAAGACAGACTGGGCGCGTGACACATGAATGCAGCCAGCAGAGAACCCTTAGTCAGCAAACACATGGCAATGTCTGGTCGCCCATCGCGACCCGACCCGCTATTTTGTGCCAGCTCCTCGTCCCTGACTTTATTGCCTGAAAGTACCACGAGCAGAGGACGCCTCAGTGAAGCTAAAGCTACTGCCTGCAAAGAAATCGCAGACACCGCATCCAACACCATACACACCAACCACCAACGAGAAATAAACCAACATTGACGACTCCTCACAAACGGACCCCTTGCACAAGTCGATTTCAGAGCAACCAAATCCGAGTGTCGACATTTCCTGCGCTCGCCCTCAATGGCGCCCCTCATCCTGCACAATGTTCCCGACGACGAACTCTATGTTGGCGATGATGGCGTGAAGAGGCCATATGCCATGGTTTTCCCACAGTATGTTTTCGCTGCCCACCAGTTCGTCTTCTATAATGGAACATGTGGCTGACCTCTCCCTCTCTCCCCCCTCCACAGACAAGATGGCCTTCCTGGCGTCCGATCCCGACGAGGCGTCACAGAAACTGGTTCCTTTGGCCGCTCCACACGACGCTCTCGCTCTCGAACAGGCACGCCCGCGCGCCGTGAGAACCCAACCCTCGCTGCCGCCGACAAGCTCTTCGGCAGCTGGGTTTCCAACAATGCTGCGACAAACACCAGCGCCAACACATCCGCACCCGCCGGCAACCTGCTGGGCAACGCACCGCAACGCAAAACGAGCAGCCAGCACCTTCAACAGGACGACGCCGCCGCCTCGGGCGCGTCTTCAACTCAGCGCCTGCTCAAGTCAGAGCCCACAGAAGTCATTCTCCGCGGCTACCGCTCCTCCGCCCAGCAGTACGCCGCCATCAACCACTACGAGCACCTCGCCGGTCTCATCTGCGAGGACTACCCCCGCGAGCCGCCCCCGGAGCAGCGCCGCTACAAGGGCGACCTCCGTGACCCGGCCTTCACGCGCCGCCGCGCGCTGACGCCCGAGGAACGCGCCAAGGTCAACAGGGCCGATGGCGGCGAGCATTGGGTCAAGGTCACCTTCGAGAGCCTCGAGGCTGCCGACGCCGCCCTCTTCTCGAGCCCCCAGACCATCCAGGGCTGCCAGGTCTTTGCCGAGCTCTACCGCGGCTTCCCGCCTCACAAGGACGAGGCCATCCTCGACGCCGACAGCCTCGTCGCCTCGATCGACGAGCACCACCGCTCCCAGTCCGTTCCCGGTCCCGGCTTCGGCGCCTTCGGCACGAGCGCCCGCCGCCGCGCCGGCTCGCGCCCCGGCGCACCCCAGCGCACCCACAGCGACCTCTCGCCGCCGGGCTCCCACGCCTCCTCCCAGACCCTCGACACGGCCACCCTCTCCCAGCGCTCCGCCACAACCTCTTCAGGCACCCTGCCCCTGACGACGACACCGGCCGCCTTCTCCTCGGGCTCCGCCGCCGCCGCCACCATCGACCCCAAGGACGACCTCTTCTGCACCCACATCCCGACGGCCCGCAAGGTAACCCTGAAGCCCGTCGAGCAGGCCATCCTGCCCTCGCAGAGCTTCACCGCCAAGCTCCTCGCCGCCGTGCCTTTTCTCATGTGGTTCGTCGGCGGCTTCGGCGCCATGATCGGCAACGAGGTCCCGCGCAGGGACGACGGCGACTTTGACTATGACCGCGCGAGCCTCTACTGGAAGTTCATCTGGTGGCTCGACGCCACGTTTGGCCTCTTTGGCGGCGAGATTGTCAGCGCTGTGGACAAGGATGACTGATCGTGGGAGTCTCGAAGTCTTGGGAGGGTGGGAGGACAAGACGGGCTTGGAAGACGAAGCGGCATTCTTTTTTCTACGTCTTCTCTTCGGACTTGGCGACACTTTCACAGACACACGACATACGGCGGCGTTAGCGCTGCCCCCTTTTTTTCGGGCACGCAGCAGGGCGTTTCAATATGTGGGGTTGTTTGCAAACACACAGCAGAGGAGGCGTGCACGCCCCAAGGGGGAAGAGGCAAATCATGTATGAAAAGGCTGTACAAAATACCCTCCTCGCCCTTGCGGGTGGTGGGAATCACGTCCGTGAATGGACGCCTCTAGATAAATGTCTTTGGGCCGCGGGGGTATAAAAACTAATGAAAGCCACACTGCAAATATGCATCCACCGTTCTCTCTCTTTCACGTTCTCTCTCTCCCTCATTTCTTACTCGCTTCTCTCATCCGAGTTGACGCTCCACCGCCTGGCGCGCCCTCGCTCACCGTCGTCATCCTTGGCTCCAACCTCTAGCGTCTCGTCCGCGGCTTGGACACCGCCGCTCTCCGCCATGTCTTCGCTCGCATGAGTCTCTCTCGTAGGAGCACCGTCTCTGCGTAGCTCTTCGTCGTCGTGCTCCTCAGCGCGCTCCTCGTGCTCCTCATCGTGCTCCTCTTCCACGGCAGCCTCGAGCCTCTGGACAACAAGATGACCGAGACCCGCATCTGCCATGCCGACGACGCCCAGTGTGTCATCGTAAGTCACATTGGTAGGGTCGCGACGGATGGGCTGGGGACTGAACGGTCGGGCCCCTCTTGGCCGGTTGAAGCCGGAACTCGAGAAGACACTGGCCGTTTCGGCCTCGTCGCCGCCGGGCGACACCGTCGCGGCACCGATCAGGCTCTGATAGCGCTCTGGATCGTCCACAAGCAGGCTGTCGCTGCGGCCGTGGCCTCCACCACCCGCCGCCGTTGTCCGCGCTGCATCGCCCCCTGATGATGCGTCAGCAAGGATGCTCCGCGGCGGCAGGATGCTGAAGAGCTTGGCAGGGTCCGCCGATGACACGCCGCCGCCGCCGCCAATGCCGCCATCATCCTGTGCTTCGCTCGCAAATAAGTCACGGCCGCGTTCGAGCAAATCCTCGAGACCGCCGCCGGTCCAGCCCTTTCGAGCGAGTGACTCGAATATGTCAACCTCGGCGCGCACGAGCGAGCAACTGGCATCGACAATTTTGCCGCTCGTGTCTTGGGATTCCCGCAGCAGCGTGCGGGCGTGATCGCCGTGGAGAGAGGTCAGGCCGTCGAGTTTCGTGGTGAGGTCGACAAGGTGGGCGCGGAAGCCGTTGACGTCGCGTCGACGCTGGCGATGAAGCTTGAGTCCCTCCTTCTCGAGGCGGCGGATTTCCTTGCTCTTGTCACGGATGTTGGCGGCGTAGCTCTCGTCTTCGTCCTCGACGACCTGACGCCACTTGTCGAGCTCGTGGAGGAGAGGCACCTCGAAGCTGCGGTAGACAGTCTCCGAGAGGATATGGTGGTGGTTAGCGACGAGATGATGGACGCCGGAGGCGGAGAGCAGCGTGTCGGCGGTGCAGGCCGAGGAGGCGGCGGCGTGGAACGAGTTGGAGAGGGAGGCGCCCTGGGGTGTCGGGCAGAGGGGTTCGGCACGGGCTTCTTTGAGGCGGGCGCAGGACTCGAGCGCCGAGCCAAAGGCAGAGGCCGCAGTCGACAAGGAAGCGAGGGCGAGGCGGTAGGATTTGGCCGTCGCTAGGAGGTCGGCATACGCGGCTTGGGAGGCATCGAGGTCGGCCTTGGACAGTACGGCATGGGATGGCCTCGGAGGTGGCGGCAGAGGCAGGTTGTAGGCAGAAAGAGGATTCGCCGTCGACGCAAGGGAGAAGCTTGGTGATCCTGGCACTGGCGGCAGCTGAGACGGTGTCGGCGAGGCGGCGCGGTGGTCGGGTGCTGGGGCGGACATGGAGGGCGGCATTTTGGGTGTAGATCCCCGCAGGACTTTGTTTACTTGACGAGACAACAAGCAAAGCAGTGGGGGTGTTGTCCACGTCAACAAAGCTAGGATGAATAGACCGACCTGGAAGCAAACACCATGACTAAGGGGGAGTAGAAATGGAGTTCACGGATGCGAGGTCTGTTGCTGGACTGGAGATGAGGGGGGGAATCAGTGTATTGAGAGGGAAGGAGACAAGAGTTGCCAGGAGTTGGCGGCGCGGCCATGCAGATGCAGGCATGCGCAGTACAAGGCCAAAAGGCACGTTGACCCTGAAATGCCCTGCAGGCAGGTGCAGCTGATGTGGGTCACGACTTCCCTGTAATGCGTACTAACACGTGAAGGTGAGCGACCCCACCACAATCACGCTCACCTCCCTCACCTCAGACGCCTCACTCGCCTCACTCGCCTCACTCGCCTCGCTCACCTTGCTCACCTTGGCCCCGGTGAGAGTCGCCCCCACTCTGACGCCGCTGCCCCACCAACCTCAAAACAACGATCCAGACATTGACTGACTTTCAGCACAGAAGCCATCAGATACCCACCCGTCATCAGATGCGTCTGCGTATTCGGCTCTCCCTTCACTGCATTGCACTCCTTCACTTCCTCGTTGTTTTCACAACCCCAGCCACAGCCACAGAAGCGCACCCCAACCTCGCCTACGACACCGTCCTCGCCGCAGACGAATTCGCAGAGCTTCCCACCATGGCCTCGTCCCTGCGCCGCTCCGCCCCGCTGGTCTTCCCCGCGCCGGGCCGCCACACGGCGACCGTCATCTTTGCCCACGGCCTCGGCGACACGGGCCACGGCTGGGCGAGTGCCGTCGAGAGCTGGCGCAGGCGGCAGCGCCTCGACGGCGTCAAGTTCATCCTGCCCAACGCGCCCATGATCCCCATCACAGTGGTGAGCTCCGCTTCTTCTTTCCGCCCGCCTCCTTTTTATGATTCTCTCTTCATCACGAGCAATTCGAATCGCTGACTTGGATGGACAGAACGGCCGGCATGGCCATGCCCGGTTGGTTTGGATCTCGTGAGTCCGAGTTCTCCCGCGTTCCCTGCCCCTGAAAAAGACGGAAGCAGCCACACAAACTTTCCTACCCTGATCACTGTTTCACCCTTTCCTGTACCGAAGTGTACGCCCTGCTGAACACGCCAGCGAACCCGGGCTGACACCAGACCCCAGAGCGTCCTCGACGGCACCGTCGAGTCGCTGCGCCAGAACGAGGACGACGCCGGCGTCCGCGTCTCGACCCGGCTACTTCCACGGCCTCATCCAGGCCGAGGTCGACGCCGGCATTCCCTCCGACCGCATCGTCCTCGGCGGCTTCTCCCAGGGCGGCGCCATGGCCCTCTTCGCCGGCCTTACCGCCCCTGTCAAGCTCGGCGGCATCGTCGGCCTCAGCTGCTGGCTGCTGCTCAGCAACAAGTTTGGCGACGAGGTCAAGGAGGAGGCCAAGTCCGTCAACCGGGACACCAAGGTCTGGATGGGCCACGGTGGTTCCGACCCCCTCGTGCGGCCTGAGCTTGGCCAGATGAGCGCCGAGATGCTCAAGAAGCTCGGTTTTGATGCCACCCTCAAGATCTACCCCGGCATGCCACATTCCGCCTGCCCGGAGGAGCTGGACGACGTCGAGGCCTTTCTGCGAGAGAGACTGCCGGCCCAGTGACTCGCCAGTCTTTTGAGTTGATCACCACGTGCGAACAAAAGAACAAGAAGGGTGCCCGATGGTGTGCCCGCGTCAACATAAATAAAGGTGCTAGCGTTCAAAGTCGACCAGTGTACACATGCCATCTCGACGCTCCGACGTCGTTCATCTGTTTTTCTACAAAAGTCTAAAGTCTAGAGACTGTTTAACTGCGTACTGCCCATTTCGTGCCTTCCCACCCATTACGCCCCATACTGAAAATCAATAACGATGCCATGTCAGAAGTATTGTCAACCAAGAGCTGATCGCCTCTTGGCAAGGAAGCCTCTGCTTCCCTCTTATATATGATCCAGTCTCGGGTGATCCAAGGAAAATATCGTACAAGTCCGTCAGAGGAAGGCCCCTGTCTCGTCACTTCCTGTGATTTGCCTTCGACGACTGCTTAGAAACATGTCCACCATGCGCTGACTGCCTCCCATCTTGTCATTCTCCTCCCCAACATGATTTGGCTGGCATTCGTCCTCTCCAGTCATGAGTTGCGAAAGTCGAGGACAGGCCGCGGCGTTGCTGCCACGGGCTACAGGCGAACCCAGCTGGGTCGTATGGCCAACAGCTGCCAGGGGGTTTGCACTCGTTGAGATCACGTCGACTCTCGGCCGGCTGCGCTTACGAGCTTCACCGGAGAAGCGCTCCTCGCAACTCCAAAGGGCATCGCATTTTCCTTGTTGGTGATTGATTTGGAATGCATATCCGGCAGGTGTTGACGCTGCGAACAGTTCGAATCGTTGATGGGTTGAATTGACCGGTTGAAGCGATAGTCGCCGAGATAGGTATGGAGCTGAGGGGCCTCAGCGAGCTTCGCGTGGGAACGATCGGAGGTTGAAGTTTGTGAGTTGGTGGTTTAGGGGTCGCGAGCTTACTGTCTGATAGCACTCCCTTATTGGAAGGGCCGGTCAATGTTCTCGACGAGTGGACAGAATCTGAGGAGGACATGGGCTCTCCTTCCACGATATCCGCCCTTTCTCGCACATGCCCGAAGGGGTTTGCCATGCTCGGCACCGTGAGCTTGAAGCCGAATGTACTTCCAATCCTAGCATCGTTCGTACCACTTTCTCGCTTCGATACATGCGAAGCCAACTGGGTCTTCCATTCAACCGAGGAAGCGGCTGAGATGATTCGGTTCAGCGACACAGAAGGTGTGATCGTCCCTGTAGCCTTGGCTTTCATGAATATTTGACCCTGTTTCGCATCTCTTCGCTGCCTTGAACGGAGGTATGATTTGACTCGTGAAGGTAGCTGGGCTATATATGGGGGCCCCGGTGGCAACGTTCCTCCCAAAGTGAACAGATGGCGACTGGTCGTGTGAGTATGTGCTCTCTGAGTAGATCGTATTGGCTTGGGGGCAAGGCTGTCTCTCGAATGATGGACAGTCTATGATGCGCCTTGTCGTTGCTGATGATAGAAATAGCAGAGTTTGTCCAGCTCGTGACGCGAGATTTATCGTCCAAAGAATTGTGCACCTGTTCGCTTCTGATGCTCTCCATGCTTGCCTGGCGGGACCGGAGCTTTGAGCTTGATGGAACTGCATGCAGAGATGGGATCCGGGATAGGACCCGTGCTATGGAGCCCCTTTCCGGCTCAGCATCCACGGCATCCATGTAATCATCTTCTTCTCCAGGTTTGCTGACTGATTGAGTGGAAGGATTCTGCTCTTGTTTGAGCCCTGGGGAGGACCTTTGCAGCGACGCGGAATCATCGTCGTCTTTCGCGCGACGAAACAAGTTCCTAAGTTTGGTCTTGAGACCATTTGAAACCTTGCGCACTGTTTTGCGAATGCTTGCATCTTTGGATGGATGGAGGGTGTGCGAAGCTGAGAATGCGAGTGAAACACCTGTGCTAGCATTGCTGGTACTGCGGAGTGACTTTCGGAAGCCCGACGAGGCGCGGCTCGGCTGCCTTGTCGTGTGGAAACAGATGGAAGATTGCGCTTTGAGTGTTTCTTGTTTCTGGACTTGCTCGCGGAATTTCTCTTTGGCAAGCTGTACGGCGAGATCGCTATGATGTTGTCGTTTTTCCTGCTGCTTGTTGTTGCGAGTCTTGAGGAAGCTCATCGACTTGGGAGTGCGAAGACCCTGGCTTAATGTTGATGAGGGCCGAGATGAATGATCTCTTTGGATCTTTGTGGCGGAAAACCCCTGTCGTTTGTTTGAATTCGGTGTATGACTGGTAAAGTAGTAGCTTGGGGTTGGCTTTGATGGCCTTGCCGGCTCGTGGTTTGGCGGCGGCACAAGCATTGATCTGGATTTGCGGAGATGTCTTGATACCGACATCATGGAAGCCCTTTCGTCTTCGAATCGGTCGTATTCTCGAGCAGAGTGCATCGAGTGTAAAAAGCTAGCACTGTAATCGGATACAGATGGCGGCCTTTGCCTTGAGGATGCACGACTGGAAGGACGATGCTCTTCACCACGAGGAAGGCGATGATGCCAAGATCTAGCATGATCAAACGACGATCGTGCACTGGGGCATCTCTGGAGACTGCTGTGGTCAAAGGAGGCACGTTCCATGGTTCGGTTTGTTCCCGACTTCCTTCGGCAGCGGTCCATTGATTGTCGATGATTTGGATCAATAGACCGCCTCGAGTGGGGATCCAGCGATGGTCTCGGCCCCAGGTCATTGTTGATGAGTCGAATGCTTTGGCGACGCCGCAAGTCGTAATCACCAGGACGGTGTATATTGCTGTCGTCGCGAGGGAGGCCGTGCCCATCCCATGATGGTCGCCCCTCCTCGGGGATTTCCGACCCCATTCCGGGATTGTAGCAGAGCTGTGCTGCGATGAGAGCGTCTCGTTGAGCGACGACCGGGTCAATGTGTTCAAGCCGAGAAACAGCTGACCGGAACGAGGTTGATGACTGACTGCGACTTAGACCAGATCGACGTCTGGAGCTTTTTCGGCGAAGCATGGAGTCAGAATGATGGCGTCGCAGGATCTGATGTAAGCGGCTATGTTTATGGAAGCTGGCTCGAATGGCGGGCTACCTGTTAGTACGACACGAGAATATCGAGACTTCGACTGACGCTGCTGAAAGCGCGCAGCTAACCAAAAGTTGGGGATTGATGTCAGGCTGGATGAAGACAAACAGGAGAGGCGATCGGGGATGTTGACGTGGGAAGAGAATCTTGATGGACAATTCCAAGTCACCGCGTCAAAGACCGGGCAACAACACCGTTGGATGTTTCTGCCATTGCGAGCGGGCGTGCCATAGTCGTTCTCGATTTCCTCGTCAAGAAGCACCGACATGCTGTGGACAAGTCGGGAAGGGGCTACCGGGGGTGATGTGTCTGGAAAAGCCCGAGAGTGATAGCCCTTATGAGTAACATCAAGCAGTGGCTCCTCCTTCGTGAGGTATCCTCGAGACACTTCGACCTAGCCACAGGTGGTGCAGCACGTACCAAACATACATTCGCAAGGCCTGCCGCCTGGATTCGGAGTAGATACGAAGTACCCAAGCCTATCATGCCTTAGGAGCCTAGGTAGGCATGAGGAAGGTGAGTTGTGCAAATCGGTTGATTGAATCGGACCGTGATATCATTACAATTACCATCTAGTGTTCATTCTGTAGGGCGTTATCCTCCCCGTGTGAGATCTGGCCGTCGACTTTCATGGGCCCTCCAATAAAAAAAAGTTCAATTCATCCATTATTCAGTTCCTTCATCATGTCGAGTTCTGCCGTGATCGCGTCTCGCTCGTTGAGCTTACTGTTGAAGCACACAGTGTCGAGCCGCTGGTAGTTTTGTAGCCTTCATCTTCTTCCTCTTCGATTGTCGGACTGCATGGCTCCCAGGCCGTTGGAACATTGGGCAACTTGCCTTCCTTGATGGGCCTACCTCGCTCGTGAACCTGTAGAAAGCTAGTCAGTATCTACATCTACCTGACGTGAGAGGGCGGATGCCAACCTTGCAGAAACCACATCGGTCTCCGAACCGAGTCGCAAAGTTGCGGCACTGGATGGATCCCTGTTGTAGCGGTAAGCATTGGTTTTCCCACTGCCAAGTTTCCTCAGACATACGTAATAGTTGGAGCAGTAGACAGACATTTTTGAAATCTGATTCTGGCAGTGACATTGTTGGGAGAGCGACTCGTCGAACAAGGTGAACGTTGACGCACCACTGATATATCATCTTCTTATGCAAGGAAGATAAGCACGTCACACACACACTAGATACACAACGATCGCGGATCTGCAAGGTGCCCAGTGATACGCACCTCAACCGATCTGAAACGACTCTTTATTGGCGGTGGTCCTATGACGCCCGCATAGCTATCGGGGAAAGATACTCTCCAACGCGTCTCCACGACAGAAGGCACACCGATGACAACTCAATCATTCATACAGTGGCCGCTCTGGCTTCTAAGATAGACTCGGTTCCAGACCTTGCCTTGACCCCGCTCCCATCGCTGCTGTCATCCGCAAGCAGGTTATCGGCGCAGAAAGGCCGAGACGATGGGGTCGCTAGCTCCGAACGGCGCCTGGACAGCAGCGCCGGGGCCGGCACGGAGGGCAAGGGGCCAGGATGAATCTTGCGCGGACAGGCTGACGCAGACGGTGCCTGGGCCATTCTGATTTGAGAAACAATGGTTGCAGCGGTTACGCTCGTCGCATTGCGACGGCAACTTGTAGATCTGGAAGTTGCTTGGCTGTCGTTTGTCCTGAATAACTGGGGCGAACTCTCAAGGCTCCATGAGTGACGAAACGTCAACTGCACCCTGACGGTCTCGTCTTGCCTTAGTTCCATCAATCATGGTCTGATGTCGATGTGCTTCTGAACTCTGAGCATCTGAATGGACTCCCGATGAGCGAGCAACTACATGTATTGAAGGTTGCGGGCCCTCACAACTTCGTTAGGGTGGACGGCATTTGCACTGTGCTAACAGCCACCGCACGCACCATGTGTTACCGGGGTTCGCACGAGATTTGCACAGATGGCTGGTCAAAGCACAGTGCGTACCACCTATGTAGCACAAAGACCCACGGTCTTTCCTGAGCTTGTGTGGGTCCCTACAAATCAGATCATGTACGAACTAGCTCCATCCATTTGGCGGAAACTTTCGACGAGACCTAATCTTTCATCATCGACATCACCAGCTACGAAACCATCCGCGCCTACAACGTAGCCCACCTTATCCACCTTGAAACTGCCACACCGGGGACAGTTGAGGCATCAACTACCGTTCCAATTGAAACCTTTCGTCTCTTTTCCGCGACACCCGCAAGCACCGCCGCCTGCCATGGCCTTCGGCAGCAAGCGATTCGTCCCGGCGTCCGACGCCAACAGCATCGCTGCTAAGTACCGATCCCAGCTTGCCCGCCGGCCGTTCCTCGTCTTTGGGCTCCCCTTTATAGCGATCATGGTCGCCGGCTCCTTCGTCCTGACTCCCGCCACGGCCATTCGTTACGAGAAGCACGATCGCAAGGTCCGCCAACTGACCAAGGAGGAGGAACTCGGCCTTCGCAAGAGCGCTCGCCGGGTCGACATGCGCGAAGAGTACTATGTGCGTAGCCCAGTCTTGGTCCTTCAAATATCAGGAAGAAAAACATCAGGGAGAAGAAGAAAGCTAACAAACGAGGAACAGCGTCTCCAGGCAAAGGATATTGACAACTGGGAGCAGAAGCGCGTCAAGCGTCTCCCTGGCGAGCACGATGGCATCATTGGCGAGTAGACCAGCAAGTAGTCGATGCAGGAGCAGAAAACAAGAGCGTCACGATCGAGCGATATGAATCAGGGGTTCTTTGCATATCTCGGGAGTACTGCCGACACACGGGGGAAAGGAGGGACGATCTGTCAACACACCAGAAAAAAAAGGACACGCGACGCCCGGCGGATCAGCCACCATACCCCCCTTTCCCGGCATACAGTAACGTCGAGGGCCGATCGCTTCACCGCGATCTACTGTTTGGTTTCACCTCTCCTACTATGGTGTGTGGGGAGTGCACCACGCGCCGACAGGGAACTGGCATCTACGGACGAAACAACGACACATCCTGAACACGAACGGATCAAATATTCCTTTGCATCTATCACGGCCGCTCGCCGGCCCTCGTCGCGCCGGAAGGCTAGGACACAGTTCGGGCACCCAACACGAAGTCGCGACCCGGTCCGATTTCGAAGGAAGGGTGGTCCGATACACACTTTTTGCAGGGCCTGCGCTGCGCCCAATCCCATGCATCCGTGCTCTTGGCCCGCCAAGACTTCCCGCGAGCCCGTCCACGCTCGTGCGACAGACAGGTGGACGTTCGCCCCGCACGCTTCCACCGTCAATGCTCCCAGAAACAAGTCATCGAGACCAGGACACCCCTCCTCCTCACGACAGCTTCGCGCTTGCGCCCGTTGATGCTTGGGGCGTGCTCTGGCACGCTGAGAAGGGAGAGGGGTGTGGGACAGCAGCCTTCGACGTCATCCCGGGCGCGTGGCCGTTTGAGAATATACCCCACGGCCAAAACTTCACGTACGAAGCAGTGACCAGCAGGTGGCCAGGGAGAGACAATCCCGCGGATCTCGTTGTCGATCACTTTCAAAAAAAAAATCTTTCTTAGGGAAGAGGGGGGATTCATTGTCTGTGGTGCTGGTCGGGGGAGAGGTACTCTAGTGGATGGAGGAGGGGCGAAGGCGTTGGGGGATGGGAGTAGTTACACGGGGGCGAATCACAAGGAATGTAAATGAGCGAGGGAAACGGGTTTCATTGTGTGCATGCTAGGCAAGGCGCATGTCGCGGAAGACATCTGTAACGGCTCGGAATAGAAAGATGTTCAAAACAGCACGGGGTCTACATTCCATCACGATCGTTCCTACTCCTGAGCCAGGACGCGTCGTGAGGCAGTGTTCCATCGTCAGCGTCATGTTGGGGTCTTGTTCTGTGTTCATCCTCGACGTGAGAAATGACTCATGGGAACAAGGCTGCGTCCCTTGCAGTTGGAGTCTCGGGTGTTTGGACCTTGACATGCAGCATACGTCAGGTGTCCCGAGCAGTCAAGGCGACCATCGGATGAAAAGAACCCCAAAAAAGGCAGACAGCTGCCAGCGTCTGATCGTCTCGACTGCATGAGGTGATCGGTGACGGGATCGAGATGCAGAATACAGTACGGCTTCGAGGCTATCATCAAATCAAGCGGTTGGGCCTTTCGCTCGGAACCAAGCGGCCAGCCAAATGCAGGGAGAGAGGACTATATTTTTGTTTCTTCACCTCCATTACATCATAGAGTATCATGATTAGAACCTGCCAAACAAGAGACCCCATGCACATGGTGTAGTGATACCTAGCTTGATTGACCGGCTACTGGACGGGAAGGCATGACTGGAGTGTCTGATCGAGGCCGCGTTGTCTGATGATTATCTGACACGAAGCCGCGTAGACAATAGCCTTGAGTAGAAGATGGGCATCAAGCTCGGGGCCAATGGGAATGGTCGGCAAGGATTCCTGTCTCAAGCTAGGGTCACACGAACACAACTGCTAGCCATCAGTGTGTGTGTGTGTGTGTGTCGATCGGGATCATCAATCAGGAGCGAAAGCTGCGAGATTAGGAGCAATGGGATGAAGAAAAGAACATGTCGAGATGAGAATCCCAGGACAGACAATCCGATAGACTGTAAGAGAGAGGAAGAAGCAACGAAAGCATCGTCCCCAGCGAACGGATCCAAGATCGATAGCTCGCATCAGATTACCGAAGGGGAGGAGAGCTGAAGCGAAGCGATGGACTAGCTGAGGCTGACGATGGGCTTGCCAAATCCCCACCTCGTCAAGTGCCATGCTTTGGGCAGAAATGCCCATGCGAATTGGAGTATGTTCTTCCTTTTTCCATTCTTCTTAGGTGCCTTGGTCGTCGGCCGCTGGGGTCCCGGATGGTCGGTTTTCGTGTAACGACGAACTTGAACCGATGATTGCTTCGATCGGGACGCATGTCTCGCACTCTGTTTCCTGAAGACCATCGAGCAATTCTTTTTACTGGACAATTGAACCGGATGATTGAAGGCCGAGCACACACACACACACCACCGCTGTCAATCAATTTTTTTTTTCCTTTCTTTGCTTGTTGCCTGCTCCTTCGCTCCCGGCGGTGAAGATGAAGGACCGTCATTTGGTTTCCCATATTTGGCAGGAGAGAACAACGATGGCGATTTGGTGGCGCATCATGAGAAAGAGGGGGCTCTGCCAAGAAGAGGGCAGATTCGCGGTGATGATGCATATGAGGAGGCGAAAAAGAACCCCTGAAATGCCAGACAGCGAAAGGAGGAGTGTTCCTAGGGTGGCCGTACAAATCGACGACGATCTTCTGCCGCACGGAAGACGCGAGGCTGGTAGCAGCCATGTTATCCCCGGCGGCAAAAGCTCTTCCTGGCCTTATCTGCCCAGTTTACCCGCTTCCGCTCCGTGGTGTCGGCGCGGGCCATGGATCATGACTCGAAATGGGGTCACAAGAAGGTTGAAGACGAAGAAAGATGAAGATCAAGACAACGACTTAGTCAAGGGGATAGCCGCCAAGCCCAGTGACCTGTGCCTGTACCTGGAATTGACGGCACGAACTTCACGCTGCTGTGAAGTATGGCGTCGAACGGGAATGGGTTGATGGGTCAGATGGGCAAGGGGAGAGGGTGGGACAGAGGGGCAGGGGTGGGGGCGCTGATGGTGCTGGCTGACCGATGGTCTCTGGCTTGTCTTAGTGGATGATGAGCAGCCGCAAGCGGTTGAGGCTGGTGGTGACACCTCGCGTCTCTCCACCCGGATCTCACCTCACCTCAGCCAGAGACGGCTCGCTACCAGTCTGGCCTGGCCTGGGCGCCTCTGGCAGGTGGGCGTGTCCCGATGGCGTTGAATCCTAAGTGCTCGCAGCCGATATTGGGTTTACAGGGACAAAGGGCGGACGGAACCGATGGGCTGAGGACGGAGAGACCGATGAGCTGAGGTGTGGATGGGGGAGAACTACTGGGAGCCCGAATGTGACGAGTAGCGATGGCGGTCACGGCGGACAAGAACGGCGTTGTTTCCCCCCTGCCGGGCCCTGATGTGGCTGGTGTGGCTTGCAGTCACCTCGAGGGGCTAGCATCCAAGCATCCTAGCATCCCTCAGCGTGCGGGGGATGCAGCCTTAGCGGTGATGGACGCTGGACCGCTCCCACGTTGCGTTCCTTTAGCGGTACATGCAGCGCAGACCGCCCTGAAGCCACAGGCGCCTTAGGGGCGATCGTGCCTGTCTTCACCGTCTGGGACTCGATCTCCACCATCAGGCTGCTGCACTCCTCAACTCTGCAGGACCAGATCGACACTACCAACTCATCACCACCAATCCGATGAATCGTACACCCCCTCACCTCCTCGG